ATCCACATTTCCAGCTATTGCGCTAACGCTAACATTGCGCCAACTTGTGTATAGGTATAGGTACAACAACACATATGCACTAAGTACACGTATATATCTTTGTCAAGGTTTCGAGTTTCGAAGAGCGGGTGGCTCAGGCTGACTGCAGCAGGCTCTTTTTTATCGCAGAAAAAACTCCATTTCCAGTCAAGTGTATGTACCATAAAAGTCCAAAAAGATCGAATCAACGGGTTTGTTGATCAGAAACATATTTCATTTACGTGACTACATAGTATTCGCGCAGCGGGATATCGGTAGGTAACCTCTATTAGTTTTCTTCGCCTTTCCTCTTTCCCCTCCTCAACGTTGTTCACTTCCTAACTCTCTCTCTCTCTGCTCATGTACAGCCTCGTGTGTGCAGTCTCTCCCCTGTAAAGTGCTTATTTCACCGTTTGTGCAATCTTATTGCTTTGCTTTTTTGTTAGTTGACAGTTGGCATTAATAGATATTTGTGATATTTACAGCATTCAAGCAGCTACTTTTGAAAATTCGTCTATTTTTGGAGTGTAGGTGTTGCAGTGTTGCTTGACCAACTGTTTGCTATATAACTTCTCTGAGCAGTGCAACAACATCTGGCAGACCAAAAGCTTTTGACTGAGAAAGGCAAGTTGCAAAAAGATACTAATTTGCAAGCTTTTTTGTTTTTTATTGTAATATTGGTGGACTCACTTTTTTCCTTCTACGATGTAAGATCTTGATGTTGGCATAGCTTATGTGCTATTGTGATTTTTCATTTACAAAGCAATGGATCAAAGTTTTTCTCTTACATTGCTACTAATTCATATAATTTTGAGCTTAAATAATACTGATTTTTTTTTTTTAGGTAATACCTAGTAAATTATACAAACCAACATCAAGAGTATTACCAAAAAGATGTCAGAGAGGAACGAAAGAATCAATAACAATTCAAATAGTGCCTGTATTGTTTGCTACAAAAATGTCAAGTACTATAGTATCGGGATGTGTGAGCATCCTGTGTGCTACGAGTGTAGTACCAGAATGCGAGTGTTGTGCCAACAAAACGAGTGTCCCATATGTAGGCAAGATTTGCCAAAGGTTGTGTTTACAAAGGAAGTTAAACCTTTTAGATTATTGAAGAAGGGTACCTTATTTGACAACAAATTTAATATTTTTTTTGAAACTCAAGAAATACAAAACGACTTTAACAAGCTGCTGGCTCATGAATGTAACATTTGTGATAGAACCCAAGTTTTTAATTCATTTACCAGTCTCAAAGATCATATGAAAAGAAAACATGATTTGCATTACTGCGATCTTTGTGTCGAAAATGTTAAGGTATCGATAATTGTGTTACATATATATTTTCGTTTGGACAAAATTAATACGATTAAACTGAAATATTTTATTAATCCTATAGATTTTCTCCCACGAACGACGCTGCTACACGAAAGCCGACCTATCACTGCACAGGCGCAAAGGTGACGTGGACGACAAAAGCCACAAAGGTCACCCAATATGTGAATTTTGTGATAAGCGTTACATGGACACCGACGAGCTCTATCGGCACTTACGCCGCGATCATCTTTTTTGTCATTTCTGCGATGCCGACGGACTTCACCACTACTACAGCTCGTACGATTATCTCCGAGAGCACTTCCAGAAAGAGCACTACCTGTGCGAGGAAGGTGGCTGCGCCGACGAGCAGTTCACCAGCGTATTCCGCACCGACATCGATCTCAAGGCTCACAAGTCCAGCGTACACGGCAAACAGCTTGGCAAAGTGGCCGCCAAGCAGGCTCGCACTCTCGAGCTTGAGTTCACTCTCACGCCCAGAGTCGACTTCAGGAATAGAAGGGGTGGCGGGCAAGCTGGCGCGTCGCGCAATCCTCGAGACGAGGCTGGTGCGAGCTACCAGCGTCACCATCACAATTCTCGAGAAGAAGGCGGATCCAACTATCCGCGCAACCCACACATCTACCAGCGCCCGGAAACGCCGCCACCGGTCGAAGAACCAGTTTTCGTTCAACAACCACTGTGCGATGTTCAAAGCACGCAAGAGTTTCCGACTTTGGGTAATGCACCAACACGGCCTGTGGTTGGAGGGGTGTCGGGCCCGGGTAGAAGCCGGGGCAACCTGACCATCCGCGGAGTACTCAAAAACAATTACAACGAAAATTTCCCGGCTCTTGGACCCGATGGAACTGCACCGATGCCTCCTCCGAGTACCAAAAGTAGTACTCTTACCAAGTCTTTCAACGTTAGTGTGTCCAGCTCGAAACCTTCGAGCTCGGCTGCTGCAGCAAAACCGAAACCAGCACCAAATGCCTCCAATCAAGCTAATCACAGGTATATATTATATAATCGAACTGTGTAAGGGAAGGTGTGAAATTGAATTTTTCTTTACTTTGTTGATGTTTCAGGGCAAACGGGCCAGTGATGACGCGGCTGAGTTCGGGTCCTAGTTTACGAATAAACACGATTCCGAGTTCCTCCAGAGAAATGGACTTTCCAGCCTTGAGTCGCGCTGTCGTCGAAGCAGCTGCAGCCCCCGTCTCTACCGCGAATCCGTCGACCTGGACTAAAGTCACCTGCGTCAAGCCAGACGCGATGCCGCCAAAAAGTAAAAAAGTAGCACCTCCGCCTCTCGCTGCCGCCCCACCACCTATTCGGTCTGGCGAAGATTTCCCCAGTCTATCAAAGCCGTCCAAGCCGACGAATAAGGCCTCCCCAGCTCCAACCAAACCGTCTGCCCCTGCTGGGCCGTCGTGGATGCAGGTAAGCTTTTAATTTTGCTCCCCCATGAAAATCAAATTATTTTTATTAAAATTTTGTCAGTGTAAGACGCTAAATTTTAACCCTTCAAAACCTTATTGGATTTAAATAAAAAATAAAAAAAAAAAAAAAAAAATGTTCACACACAAAGCTACAAACGGTCTTACGTCTTACCGTCGACCAATACGAAATCCGAAACTCATTTTAGACTACTAACGTGATGATGACGTCAAACACATGTGCATAATATGTTCGTATTTCATAAACATTTTTGTACACCTGCGATTAACATGTAAGCTCAAGTGTTGAATGGGATTTTTTTTGTTACGTTGTAGAATCTGGCAAAGACTAAGAAGTGCGATCGCTTAAATCGTCAATGTGTGGACGAGTAGATATTCGTTATCGTGATAAGTTACAAGTACCAAGACATTAAGTACTCTAAACGTGTTAAAAAAAAAAAAAAAAAAAAAAAAAAAAAAAAA